GGATTTTTCAACACGCACTCATTGATCAGAAAGAAGAGAATTGGCTTTATCTTAAAACCGACCGAATATTCCCATGGACCACCTCAAATCTCGAGGAAACCCGAGGATCAAAGGAATAGACAAACAACCACATAATGTTGACTTGGACCCATTATCCTTCGGACTTCACCTTCACACAATCCCCACTTCATCCGATCAAACCTACATTCTGGATACAATAGACTCGAGTAAGGCTCTCGCCAGTTCATATCTACCGCCCAGTTCCGTCCGAACTTTGAACTCCATACCTATCACATGGAGGTCCTGTGTAACCACTATCCCAACCTACAGCCTACACCGGAGTTGAATTGAGTAGTTGCTCATTCATTTTTGTTTAGATGTTGATTTCAATGATGGTCGGTTAATTCGTTTTTTCATGCAATCAGTTCCCTTTAATATTTTCATGAGAACAAGAAGAAGCATCATGATCACAGGATGTGTTGAAATCAACTATTTCGTGGTAATCTCATCAGCTGTGTACATAAATTCAGATCACGTTTGGTTAAAATAGTGAGAGGTTTGGGGACAGGCGAGCACACACGGGGAAGAGAAATCAATCATTACAAAGGTCAAATGTCACTAATATTAGCCGGATTGGACATTGGGGCAGGCATCACTGCCGGATGGAGAGGGAGAGGGGAGAGGGAGGAGGACAGTGACACATCTACCAGCGGGCAGAGCGAGGCTAGCCACAAATTCGGTCTGTTTACACAAATCAGACTTGTAACGTTGAATAGCAGCCGCTTCAGCGAACCGTAATAGACGGCTACCTTTCTGGCGAATCAAGACACGAAAGGCGTCCCTAGGTTTGCCACATTCTTTGCAATCCAGTATATGTTGGGCGATTGAACTGGACGGAAGCTTGCATCCGTTAGACGCCAATTGTTTCGGCACATCCTCCTCTACCCTGGTAGATAATCGTCTCTCAGTTCTTCCAACATACTTTTTACCGCAAGTAAACAAAGGAGGAGATAACTGAAGAGTTGGGTTTGTCTAGATTGGATTCAGTGAGCATTCGCTTCGTGTCATGCAGTATTACAAGGGAGGCGGCGTTATAATTTCTTTCAATCGCTTGTTTCAACCTACTCTGTATTCGCCTATTATTTTGATCACCTTGAAACGGTATGGTGACAAAAACACCTTTTTTGAGGCGGTGTCACGTGGTTCTAGTTTAGTCAACGGCGCTCCATACTTTGAAATAAACTTTTTAGGGTATCCATTTTCGTGTAGTGCCGCGGATATGCAGCGAGCGTCGAACTCCAACGTTTCATTGGAGCAGATCATCCTGGCTCTAGAGAATAAGCTGTGCACCAACGTGTGTGTTCGCCTGTCCCCAAACCTCTCACTATTTTAACCAAACGTGATCCGAATGTGTGTACACAGCTGATGAGAGTACCACGAAATAGTTGAATTCAACACATCCTGTGATCATGATGCTTCTTCTTGCTCTCCTAACAATTCGTTTTTATCACGACAATAAAGAAGAGGGAGAGACAGCGGACAGTATACTCCAATCGAATGCCTGCCAATCAGGTGTTCTGTATTGGTTCGGGTCGACTCCTCAGAACTTGAGGAGTGTGGTTCCTCCCCGAAATAATTTTCGCTTGAATAAGATAAATGCATTTCGGCAGCATAGTTCTGCGTCTGTGAAAGCAAACTTGTTTCATTTACACCTAACTCAGTTCGGAATTTCAGGCAATTATCGCATTGTTTAAATAAATTGAGATAAATAAACCCACCTGGTGTGCTCTCGCAAATTTCTCTTGGTCAGTAATCCCGTTTGATTTGACAATAGATTAGGANATAGATTAGGATTCATCATTCCTTGGACAGTTGAATCCACAGTTGTCGGTCGAAAATCGGGAGTAATTTGGGAAAGCACCTTGGAAGGGGCAATGTCAGATTGCCTTCGTGGTGGACGTTTAGCCATCTGAACCTCATATTCTTCAACTTCATCAGCCTTTGATAATACGCGGTGAATTTCGGACACTGAATGAACATAAAACACATGATCTTTGGTCAATAAGGTATCTTCTTATCGGATAATCTAATAAAATCGTTTACGGTGATCATCTTATGAAATCAACTTCCTCATTGGCGTATATTCAAATGATTTGAAGACGACAAGATAAGTATGGCGATCTGCAATCAATTTGTTGATGTTATACAGAATTTAAAGCACTGTACCGAAACATATTTTTGAAACGAACTCTAATGGGTGTTCTACTCAGTTTTTATCGGGAAATTTCTCGGTCCTGCAATGATCCACCAAAAGGAATGTAAGAATGTAGGAGTGATTCTACTCCAGGAAAGTTGGCTATATCCCGACACTGGGGACAACCTCGTGCATCTTGGTGTATATGACTTATTCCGAGGCGATTTTATTATGAACTTCCCCAGCAGAGGTGGTGGAGTCGATACTTTCGTCAACAGAAAATGGTGCAAAAACGCTCATCAATGTTTTCACTTCAGCACATAAGTCAGTTACAAATACTGGATATATTTTTCTATTATTATTTCAACTACTAGTAAGTAGTAAATCGTGAAACAATTATGTAAACTAAAATATAGTCCTATATGATTCTGATGCTTTTATTTGAATCAGAAATAACTCTTCCATTTCTGAGACGATATCCTAATTGAAACACGAATCTATACGGCTTCGGGATTCCCCGAAAAAAATGAGATATCAGAAAATTTCAATGCCCTAATATCCATATACAAATAATACACGAAGCGGAAAACCTATTCCTAGAGTGTTCCGGAAGTTCGATTTGTCAAGTCACTCGCTTACTAACTCACCCCTGAAAAACCTTAAAATGAATAAACACAGCTGTATCATTCATACCAGGAATCATCATCAGTGGAAATGGGTGGCTGAAAAAGATAAAACAGTTAAAAGGGTGCTTCCGTAGCTTTTCGGTTGCAAGAGACATGTTGGCCCTGCTTGAAATATATATATATATATATATATATATATATATATATATT